GAGAGAGAGAGAGAGAGAGAGAGAGAGAGAGAGAGACATGCAATGATAGACAACACGTGCGAGGTTTTACTTTCGCAGCATACACGTCCTGTCCATGGTGCGACAACTGTCGCGATTACCCTTCTACCTCACTGCTCAGGCAATAATTTCAGCCACTGTCCCCGAATTTATACCCTATCCTCCTTCTACTTCCCACCTTCTTGTCCTCGTTCCCTGCAGTGTCCTCATCATCGTTCCCTCTGAGTTTCACGTGGTCGCGCTCTCTGTACTGTCCTTCCCGTCGTTGATTTCTCGTAGTCGTCGATTTTCCCTTTGTCGGTGTATATAACCTCCTACACCTTTGTACGCTCCAGTGCTTCTGTCTGTTTCTAGAAATCCGTACTCATGCATTTGGCGGCTTTCCTTTTGGCCGTAATTTCGTCTCGATCTTCTGTATTTATATCCTTTTGGATTACTGACTTTTGTCTGATTTTGTTTGTTTGTTTATTTTCATGCGGCCGTGGTTTCATCGTTATCTTTCAGGTGAGTATGTTTCATTTCTTTGTCGTTTGTTCTTCTGCACTTGGAAACGTATGTATTTCTCGGATTTTGATTTGATTCGTATGCTGGGGACAACACGGTACTTCTTGCATCATTATATCTGCATATTTTCTGGTTCTTCGCGTTTTTTACGTCTTCTTTTTTATTCTTTTTTGCGTTGGATTTATATCATTCAAATTTGGTCGTTTCTTCTGCTTCAAGACACTGATGGAAAACCTTTCGGACTTTCGTCTCTATGCAGTTTTTGATGAACGCCACGATAGCCGTGCGGGTTATCCTCCAGGGGTAGTCCATCAGTCTGAGTTCCTTACAAAACATCCTCAATACCGTGATTAAATCTGAGACTTCATAGGTGTTCGCCACCATTCTGTGAAATGTGCCGATTATTGTCAGTACTTTGTTTTTTTCGGAACCAGCACTCCTGAAGTGACGCAAAGTTCTGAGAGAGAGAGAGCTCAACAACCCCTCCTGGAGTGTTGCTTCGTTTTTCAGTCTGTGTGTACACTTCAGGAGGGGCTCGTGATCCATCCTTGATGTAGTAGTTTCAAGATACGTCCATTTTGTACTATTTTTTTCTGATGTTGATTCAAGTTTCAGCGAATGGTGATAACACGTTTTGAATGATTCCATGCATCTTCGTTCCTTTTCCTGGTTTTCTTTATCCGCTATTATTATGATCATCACGTCATCCACAAATCTCATGCCGTGAACGAGTTTCGTGTCCAATCCAATTTCGGAACACCATCTGTGTTCGTCATAAGCACATACCATATTCGCTATAGGTGGGCTGGAGCCCTTTCCCATAGGTACACCCTTCACTTGTCGTAGTAGCGTTCCTTGTACTTTGAAATAGGCATGCTTGATGTCATAATACAGTAGATTCATCAGACTCTCAATCTTGATCATTCTCCATCCATAAGTACCATTTGCTTTGCTGAAGTTGATGTATTTTCCTCTCTTTTTATAGCATAGGTGCGTTTTTCGTTTTTCTTTTGCGGTGTTTAGCATCCATTGCATGGCGTTAAGAACATGTGTATGGTCTAGGTTAGAAAACATGCCCTTAACGTCATACGTGGCGCATATCAATGTCGCGTTCTGTCCGTACATTTCTTCCGCTGCCTTGTTAAATTCTCTCAATTTCGGAACTAGTTGATTAGCTCCTTGCAGTGAAAGCCAATTTTCCAGGTACTGCACATAAAATCAATTGCTCTCGACAGAATCTTTGATGCTTTCCTTGACGGTTCGTTATATATCGGTACAATTGGCCTTCGTCTCGTTACATCTTTGTTCTTGGGAATTGTGTATGCGTTACCGTAAGTCCCTTTCTCATCCTATTCGGCAATTTTTCCAAGTCCACATCATCAATATGTATTCTTTTCCAGTTGAAGAATTTCGGATTCGGTTTGCTGAATGATCTCATAGTATTCTGATTTCAGGAAAAATTGATTTGTCTTATCATACCAGATTTTTGGACATTCAACGAATGTTTCGCCCGGATTCCTGTTTAGGGGTGATAGGATCAACTGTCCCAATTTCTTTTTCTCTTCCCAGACTTCGGAGATATCCAGATATTTTCCTTCGTTTTTGCTATTTCTCTCGTTTATACATCTGGAAACATCAATTTTTATCTCTCTTGTCTTTCGCATGCCTCTTGGTATACTTGCGATGGTGAATATGATTGTCTTTCGTACTTCTTCTTTTCCTACTCTCATATTCACATGGGGCACATTCTTTCAATTCCACATTAAATGGTTGTCTGTAATTTCGCTCAATCTGCAGGCAACATGATCATCCATCTTTGGTAGCCGGGATGTAGCGCATTTACAGTCAGGCGGTTCTTTCATCACCTGCCTGTGATTGTGCAATATCTAGCCAACCGTCCTGGATTTTTGAAACATCACTCTCATACGAGTCGTCAAATCTTTAGCCAGATATATGTTTTCCACATTGTCCAAAATTGGATTCGATGTGGCATTTCTGACTTGTTTGAGATTGATATCTGCTGCAAATGGAATACTAAATATGAGCCTTTTCTTTATATTGAATGCAAATTTCTTTTTTGAAATTCGTGTGAATATCCCTTTAATCGTACCCCATTGTTTCTTTCCTGTTATTGATCCGACTTTCGATAAGAGAATGAGCATATCATCCAGCATTAGTTTATACAAATCCTTCCTTCTCCATGGTGCCCAAAGACAGTTAATCAGAATATTCCTGTGTTTATTCGTTGTGGGTCCTGTGTGTATTAGCTGGATTACACAAAACTTACATCCTTGTTCTATTTTCTTCCTGCATTCTTTCAGTTGGAATTTGGTGTTGTCAATTTTAATTATTGTGGATCCAAATGTTCATTTAATTACTTTCCATTTTTTGTTCCACAATCTTCCTGCTGTGCATTCAATCATTGCTTTAGGCCGTAATAATTTAGTAAGCTTTGTGGTGTATCCAGATCGCACAGTTCTGAAAAGTATCGATATATTCTGATTTATAATTCGTCTTCTGTGTTCTTTCCTCTCCTTCTTTGTCTTGTCTTCCGAGTTTTCATACCTTTGCCCCTTGTGTTCAAGAATGGGTTGAGTCTCTTAATTAGCGCGTTTTCCATCGCTGTCACCTCTGCTTTAACTCCTGTCCATACTCGTATCAACACATACTTTTCCCAGCCAAACTTCCGTAGCCAACTGTATAACTTTCGCTGTGTCCCCCTATTTGGATTCCTGGCTAAGTTAACATGTTCACACCACTGTTTCTCCGGTCTCCTACCTGTCTTCCCAATGTACATGTGTCTACACCATGGCGAATAAGAACATATACACTATAACTAGCAGTCCGTAAGGAATCCACTATCTGATACTGAGCAGTCCATAGATCGACTAGAGGGTCTGCCCATGGGATGTTTCCATCCAATGCAAGTGAAATGAACAACAGTCTGTAGCGTCTGTTATAAGAGTGACATTCACTTATCTTACCCGTACTTACTAGTCGTTCTATCGTTGTTGCTAGCTTGTGTATCTGTTCCCATTTCTGTGCCTTGGTGAGTCCATCCGCCGGCGGTGGCTCGTTCACCTTCCCGATAGGTCTTCCTTGCTTGAAGACATATCCGATGAGTCACCATCTTCATCTTCATCATCATCACTTGATTCGGAGTTGTCCTCCTGCTCATCTGTTTCTTCATAGCTGGATGCCTCGTTCCTAATGTTGTTTTCGATCCTGATATTGTCAGGGTTAGGAATGATCTGCGTCTCGAGGTCTGAGTCACGATTAAAATCGCGTCTGTTGTCTTGAATCAGTCCTGGTACTCTGCGCAGATCAGATATCGCTTGTGGTTTGTCTTTATATCTGATATTGTGTATCTTACACAAATCCTTCAGATGATGTAGGCGAAGGAGTTGCGCATCTGTTAACGATTCGTGGCCGAAATTGATGCTGCGCTTCGCCTTCATCTTAATCGCTGATGTTCGTCGTCTCATCTTCGTTCTTCCCCTCTTGGGATGTGGCGGAATTGGTTGGCCCATTCTGCTCCGGCTTGGAATGCTATGGCTTGGTCGACTGCAGCTTGGGGCGCTGCGGTTGATGTGTACTGAGGCCGACAGTCCAGAAATTGTACTAGGATATTGATATGGATGCACGGATGATGAAACAATCGGTGTGCACGTCCATGTTGGCTCATTAATCTTCTGCAATGCTCCCTTAATTGTTGCAAGATCGTACTTGAGGAGCTTGAGATCGTTCACGTCCCTCCGTACTTCCGACACCATTTTCTCCACTTTGCCTTCATCTTCAGTTGCCTTATGTCCTGCGCCGCTACTGCCAGCTTGCATGTTCATACCTTGCGCTTTCTCCGCCTCCTTCTTACTTGGCGAGTCAGTCCTTAGTGCTCTGTCCAGGATAGACTTGAGTTCTGATGCGGTGACTGGATTCTTCGACTTTGGTTCTTTAGATGTTCCTTCTGACCTCTTCGTGCCACCATCGCTCTTCTCGGCTGCCACTGCTTTCTTATCTGCCGACTTCATGGTGAGTTGCTCTATAATCTGCAATACTTTGTCCATCTCCCGTCGTAGTTTGAAAATCTCCTCCTTCAGGTCCGCGGTAAACCATGCACGATTTCCCGGTGGAGGGAAATCGTTGAGTCGTTACTCCCAATGTGGTCGGGCAAATCTCTCCGCTGAATCTGATTCTGCCCTTCTCCTTTTAGCTAATGGAGATCTTGATCTCTGTCTTCGATCTCTAGGAGTTCTGGATCTCCCCCGACGTGAGTGCTTCTTGCCATGCGATCCCGAGGACGATGATGAGTGTTTGCACCTCCTTCTGTCCGACGATGAGCGCGAACGCGCCATCTTCCCTGAAGTGTCCGGATCTTCGGGTCAACTCACAATGTAGATTACTATCGATAGGTTAGTTGAGGAATAAATCGACAATCTCCAAACCGCAAACTGAATACAAAAATCTCCAAGATCGCTAAAACAAATCTCCACGCCAGCGTAATCTCCAAAGGTGCAATCAACCGCCACACCAAAACAGGGTAAAAAATTACTAAAAATACCCTAAGGACTAAGATATGGAGAGAGAAGAGAGGATTGAATGACAAGAAAAATGAACGAAAGATAAGATCAGAATGGATAAACACAGTCTAAACAGTGTCGATCTTTGCGGGTGCCGCCCGCAAGTTCGAAGCACCGTGCCTTGAGATACACACATGCAATGATAGACAACACGTGCGAGGTTTTACTTTCCCAGCATACGCGTCCTGTCCATGGCGTGCAACAACTGTCACGATTACCCTTCTACCTCACTGCGCAGGTAATCATTTCAGCCACTATCCCTGAATTTATACCCTATCCTCCTCCTACTTCCCACCTTCTTGTCCTCGTTCCCTGAAGTGTCCTCATCATCGTTGCCTCTGAGTTTCACGTGGTCGAGCTCTCTATACTGTCCTTCCCGTCGTTGATTTCTCGTAGTCGTCGATTTTCCCTTTCTCGGTGTATATAACCTCCTACACCTTTGTACGCTCCGGTGCTTCTGTCTGTTTCTAGAAATCCGTACTCATGCATTTGGCAGCTTTCCTTTTGGCCGTAATTTCGTCTCGATCTTCTGTATTAATATCCTTTTGGATTACTGACTTTTGTCTGATTTTGTTTGTTTTTTTATTTTCATGCGGCCGTGGGTTTCATTGTTATCTTTCAGGTGAGTATGTTTCATTTCTTTGTCGTTTGTTCTTCTGCACTTGGAAACGTATGTATTTCCCGGATTTTGATTTGATTCGTATGCTGGGGAATCAACACGGTACTTCTTGCATCATTATATCTGCATATTTTCCAGTTCTTCAAGTCTTTTTTTTTTTTTTTTTTTTTTTTTTATTTTGGACCATTCCTCGATTTATGCGTGTCATCCTTGCGCAGGGGCCATGCTAATCTTCTCTGTATCGTTCCAATTTTAACAGATGCCCCGAAGGACAGTTCTTCGCGGGTTTTATATCTTCTTTTTTATTCTTTTTTTGCGTTGGATTTATATCATTCAAATCTGGTCGTTTCTTCTGCTTCAAGACACTGATGGAAAACCTTTCGGACTTTCGTGTCTATGCAGTTTCTGATGAACGCCACGATAGCCGTGCGGGTTATCCTCCAGGGGTAGTCCATCAGTCTGAGTTCCTTACAAAACATCCTCAATACCATGATTAAATCTGAGACTTCATAGGTGTTCGCCACCATTCTGTGAAACGTGCGGTAGATGTCTGTCCCACTCGAAACCGCAATGAAATTGCTATTTTTTCCGACCCGTCCAGGCATACTTGTCTCCTGAAGTAAATGCATGCTTCTGACTGTAGCATGATAGGTACCAGTTGTATCGCATGATTGTATATAGCCCGTTGGTTTCCCTGTATATTCAGTCTATGAGTCGGTAGATTGAGTACTAGTACTGTCGTTGCTATGCAGATATCAGGTCGGCTGTAAGTTTGTCCTTATGATAATAATAATAATGTCCCGTGATCATAGCACGCTGATCTCACTGCTTCTCATGTGCTTTGATTCATTGTGCTGTTATGTGTGTCATCTGCCACAATTTGCCCACTTTGAATTTCTGAAATTCTTTATGACAGTTGAAACCTCCTCCTTTTCGCAATTACGTATTATGATAATAATAGTGTAATGAACCCAGTCTGGCAGATCCTCATCGGACATCAAACCACAAGTAGTATCGGATCTGCACAAGCCTCCAGTTATCATGAAGTGATATCCGAAACAGTATCTCGTTACTAATAGACGAAGAGAGTGGAGGGAGGATAGACAAGGGAGAAGGTGGAAGAAATCATCAAAGACCACACGATAATAGCCCAACCAGTCCCACTCCTTCTCCGGGCTTCTTCTCCCTCCACGTCATCAAACAATAATAGTAACAAGTCTGATAAGTTCTGCTCACACAGAAGTGCCACGTGGCACTCTTATATCATGAAGACCATGAAGACAGGAGCAGAATACACTAACGACGTCAACCTCAGGTGAGTACCCGATCCCAATCATCCACAGATCCCGATCTCCCTCCTTGTCACAACCAGTCACCTCAGGTGTGGCATACTGCGCAGCCACACGGGCCTGCAGGGCCTGTCCCGCAGTCTCAGCCTAAAAGCCTAGAAACAAGGGCTTACAGGCCCTGTGTCGTTTCAGCCTGAAAGACTGAAAAACGAGGGCCTGCAGGCCCTATGTCGTTTCAGCCTAAAACAGGGCCTTTCAGGCCCAGAGTCTTTTCAGCCTGAAACGGAGGGCCAGTTTCGGGCCCTCATAAGATCGACCTGCCCTAACACTCAGGCACGAAACCAGGGTTTCGAGAACTGGTTATTTTTGGCCTGTTCCCACGCCAGTCTCAGCAGGAGCTGCAGCGGCAGGCCCTGGCTCACCTCGGCATTGGCAAGAGCAGCCTCCTGGACTGCCCCTCCCTGCAGCTGCAGGCAGTCAGGAGGCAGGCCGAGGTAGTACATAGGAAGTTCCCATGCACTTCATGGGCAGTCAAAGGCCGAGGCAGTAGTAGTCTTCAGGATTCGGCAGCAGCACTCTGGAGGAGCGCTGCAGGAGTAGCTTAGTGCTAGCAGTAGTCTTCAGCGTTGGGCGCTAGTAGCAGTAGCAGTAGTCTTCAGCGCTGGGCGCTAGTAGAGGTAGAGGAGGTGAGAGAGAGAGATGGCTGGCGGAGGCCAGGGAGACTTACCTGTGGCGCCATAGCTCCAGCTTCATCTTCAAGGTACCTGCATCAAGGCGCCAACTTCACAGGTTAGTACCGGACTGAGAGAGAGAGAGAGAGAGTTCTTCTTTTTTCTCTTCTAAGTCCACCATCTCTTCTTCACCCTCTCACTACCTGACTTCTCAGTATCAGCGGACTACGACAGAGAGAGAGAGTTGTGACTTGAGACTTGACGACATTGGATCCAGACTCGACATTGGGATTCAGACATTTTGACAAGGGACTATTTGGGCCTGTGCCGAAGACTTGGTGTTGACGACATTCCCATCTTCCCCTCTTCTTCGTCTAACCCCCCTCTTCTTAGTTTGTGTATGGATGGGGACTGGCGCATCCTTCCTGTGTGAGCGCCAGGCCCCTTCACACCATGGAGTGATGATGATGATGTATGTTCGGGGCTGCATTGCAATATTGATTGTTCGGATCATTGGTATCTAAGTCTTCCGCTACGTTATCTTGTACTTTGTGAGAGAGGTCGGTTCTTGTTCTGGTCTGCACCGTTACAGTATGCAACAGTTTGGTATCGGAGCGGACCTCTCATTCATAGGACCCGCTCAATCAAGTAGCCAGCTTGCTTGAGCTATTGATTACTCGTTAGTAAATCAAGTAGGACTTCGTCAAATCTCTGGAAAAAAAAAATTCTCGCAACAAATATCTGAAAATTTTTGATAATCGCATTTCGTTTTACCTGAAAATTTCTGATATTAGTATTTCGTTTTCACGCAACAAATATCTGAAAATTTTTGATAATCGCATTTCGTTTTATCTGAAAATTCCTGATAGTAGCATTTCGTTTCTCTGATATTCGCATACATAGCCGAAAATTTCTGATGTTAACATTCGTTTTCTACGCATATTAGTATAACGATAGAGGTGGTCATATTCTCGAAAAACGGATTTATTCTTTTCTGAAAATCGAATCTCCGTTCTATCTCACAATTTTCTTTTGAAAACCGAAATCTTGCAAAGCCTACCAACATTTCGTTTTTACTACTTTTTTAGGCATATTAGGAGGTTGTCATATTCTCAGAAACTGGATTTAGTTCTTTTCTGAAAATCGCATCTCTATTCTATTTCGCAAAAAAAAAATTCAAGATCGCATTTTTGTGAAAGCCGAAACTTTGCGGAACCTAGCCTACATCTCGCTCATAGTACTCTTCTAACATACCTCACTCATAACAGATTGACAAATATATAAAAAAAAGGGGGGGTGATCCTCCTTTTTTTTTTTTTTTTTTTAAGTCTGTTGATTAGGACCGGGAGGAAAGTATAGCTGGGTTGGCTACCTACCTGCGTTTTCCCTCCCACCGACCCCTTTGCCTGCATTCCCGGTTTGGTACAGTGCCACGTCAGCAGTGCCACGTCAGCAATAGTGCCACGTCAACAGTGCCACATCAGCAATGCCACGCCAACAACAGTGCCACGTCAGCAGTGCCACAGTGCCACGTCAGCAGTGCCCCGCCACCATGACGGGCTCAGCTCTGGGCATGCCAGGCCAACCGGCCAATGAGTCCATTGCCGAGTACCAACAGCGTTTCGAAGCTCAGCTCGCACTGATCGAGGCTGAGGAACAACGTCAGGCGGAAGCCGAGGCTGCCCGCCTACAAGCTGAAGCGGCGGCAACAGTTGAAAAGCAGCGGCTTCAAGCCGAAGCCGAAGCAGATACCCAGGCACACCGCAAGGAGGCCCAGGATTTGTTACAGCGGCATGAAGCCACCAGCATCGAAAAGCTCAAGTTTTGGCATTTTGAACCATCTGAGCAGCACGACGATGCGACACCGAAAGAGCAGCACAAGGAGTTCCTGGCTAAACTCGTGACCCGGTTGGTTTACACTTGTAACCACCTGCAGTCCGAGCTGGCGAATCTCCGACGGGCGGTGTGGAACCACAAGGATCTGCACGAGGATGCTACACGGGCACTTGATTCCCGTGTACAGGACTTGGAGCAATCTGCACCAAGACCAGATGTTGGCGAGTCCAGCAGTGCACCCTTTACCCGCCAATTGGAGGAACGAGTTGACCACGTCATCGCAATGCTCAGCGACATCAGCACCTTCGCTGCACCAGCCACCATAAGCAAGCAGCTGGACACCTTGAAGACCGAGGTTCAGCAACTGCACCAACTGCCCAACAAGGATGGCAACACCACGCAGCACTACAAGATGCCGACATTCCGCATCGAAAAGTTCGATGACTATACGCATCAAGACCCGGTCCCCTGGTGGGAGGGCTTTACGACGGAACTTCGGATTCTTTTCATCCCTGAGCACTCGTGCATCGGCGCGCTATTCCTCAACTCAAAGGGCGGATGCCAGATCTGGCTTAGCCATCTGGCAACCATCCACGGCGTCGACGTTGCCGATCTGCACACGAAGATACCTTGGGCAGATCTGACGAAGCTATGGAAGAAGCGGTTCATCGTGGACGACGCCCCGACGCTCGCCATCAACCGCCTCTTCGCGATGACGCAAGGCAACACATCGACACACGACTGGCTCACGGAATGGCAAAAGATCGCGGCGACGCCCGATCTCGAATTGCCATTTTCGCATCTGCGCCGGGAGTTCTACAACCGGTCACGTGCCGCCTTGAGCCTTGCACTTGGTGATCGCGAGCAATACGCGACCTTCGCCAAAATCATCGACAAGGCAAGGGAGATCATCAAGACCAATAGGGCGGCTGCACACGAGAAGTCGGCATGGCAGCCAACCTGTGTGGAAAAAGGAAAATTTGGTCCGCGTCCGCAGCATGTCGTTGCAGTCCACACGGACAACATTGTGGAAGACCTGGCAGCCACCCAAGCATCACGTGAGGGAGATCAGGTGGCTGTTGTCCAGCCGTGAAGCAACAACAACTCTCGAGGAAAAGGGAAGGCGAAAACTGCATCGCCGACCGGAAACGGACAGCCAGCACCATGGGTCAAGTTTCACTTGACCGAGGCCGAATACAAGTGGCACGGCCGGTATGGCTGCTACTATTGGTGCAACAGCACCAAGCACAAGACCTCCCAATCCCCGGATCAAGGCAAGGAGGATGTTCGGCCCCGCATCAACTCGGGAAACTGAGTTGCGCGGGAGGTGAGGCTACTCCACCTCTCACTCCGCCAGATTTGGCCGCCATGCTAGCGGCCTCCTACACATCTGGGGAGGATGCGAATGTCGCAAGTCCTCGGTTCACTTACGAGGATTATGCTGTCCACTTGGTCCCACCGTTGGATCAACCACTCCACGTGCAACAATCCACCGCATGCACGGTTTCACTACCATCGACGTCGTCATCTATCGTCGGGGATTCGACGACATGGTCAAGCCTTGAAGACCTCGACCCGTTGACGTTTGCGGACTTCGAATGGATGCCCCTTCCCCCATCCGGTAGATTGCCGAAACCGCATTGCAACGTGTTCATGGCACAATTGCGGGATTACTTGCACACTGCGGTACCAACTCCGTTGAAGGACGACAGAGTAGAGGTTGTCGACCTTCACGCCTACATTGCAAAGATCGACCGCAAGTTCAAGACACAACGGTACGATGACATTGACGTGCCATTGTTGTACGTACGCATACGCATTTAGATCGGAGAGGCGACCTGCAGCGCTTTGATCTATTGCGGAGCTACTCGCAACTACATGAGCCAAGACTTTATGGTACGCGCTGGCCTTGGGCCACGCATTCGGAGGAAGTCGCAGCCCACGCAAGTCACGTTGGCCGATGGTCACACGCACAAGTCAATCGACTTGTGTATTGATGTCGTCCCCGTGTACTTTGCCCCGCATGCAAGCGAGGCCGTGTCCTTCGATATTTGGACACCAAGTTTGACATGATCTTGGGCATGTCATGGCTGCGAAGCGAGGATCACCCGGTGAACTTCTACCGCCACACTGTTCACGTTCGTGACCGGAATAGAGCACTAGTCCTATGCACGGTGCCTCCTCCTCACCCTTCGATCAGCTGCCACGTGGTGTTCGTTGCAAGCATTCGAGTTTCCATCATCCGGGATGACGTCGAGGAGATGGGGGGGTGTTTTCTCCACGCCCTCCCGCCCCAAGACATTCCATCGACTGACTCACCACCGGACCCACGCATCACCGAGCTTCTCGACGCCTACGACAACGTGTTCGAAACACCGCACGGAGTAGTACCGGATCGGCCCATCCGCCACGAGATCATCCTCGAGGACGGGGCCGTACCTCCGCGTGGTTGCATCTACCGCATGAGCGAGGAAGAGTTAAGTGTGCTAAGGGCACAACTCGACGATCTTCTCGAGAAAGTCTGGATTCGGCCTAGCTCTTCGCCATACGGTGCTCCCGTTCTCTTCGTCCGGAAGAAGAACAAGGAGCTGCGGTTGTGCATCGATTATCGCAAGCTCAACGCGCAAACCGTCAAGAACGCCGGCCCTCTTCCACGCATCGACGACCTCCTCGAACGACTGGGCGGCGCCAAGTTCTTCTCCAAGCTTGACCTCAAATCGGGATATCACCAACTCGAGATCCGGCAGGAGGACCGCTACAAGACCGCGTTTAAGACGCGATATGGGCATTTCGAATGGCTGGTTATGCCTTTTCGCCTTACGAATGCCCTGACCACATTCCAAGCGGCTATGACAACGGAGTTCCGACACATGCTAGATAGATTCGTACTCATCTACCTCGACGACATCTTGGTGTACAATCGGAGTTTGGACAAGCATGTGGAGCACCTGCTCACCGTTTTGGAGCGGCTACGACAAGCCAAGTACAAAGCCAACCGCAAGAGCTGGCGTACTTGGGACATTATGTGACGCCGCAAGGCATTCGTCCGCTTGCGAACAAGATCGAGGTCATCCGTGTATGGCCCGAGCCCACCAACACCACGGACGTTCGTTCATTTATGGGGTTGGCGGGCTACTATCAATGCTTCATCACCGGGTACTCAAGGATTGCCGCACCTATGATGAGATTACAATCGCCAAAGGTGTCATTCGTATTCGATGACAACGCACGCCGGTCATTCCAAGCACTCAAGACGGCCATGCTCATGGCACCCGTCCTTAGCATCGACGACCCCACCCTGCCAACGAGAGTGACAACCGACGCTTCGGGCTATGGCATTGGGGCAGTCTTGGAACAACATGACGGTGACGACTGGCACCCTGTGGAGTATTTCAGCCACAAAGTGTCTCCCATCAATTCACTTGATGATGCAAGGAAGAAGGAGCTGCTCGCATTCGTAATGGCTCTCAAGCGATGGCGGCACTTCCTCCTTGGGCGTCGTAGGTTCACATGGGTCACAGACAACAACCCATTGACCTACTACAAGACGCAGAATACGGTGAGCAGCACGATCAGACGATGGATGTACTTCATCGACCAATTTGACTTCACACCGAAACATCTCCCCGGCCTCTCCAATCGCGCAACAGATGCACTCTCGCGAACACCCGATCTTTGCGCTATGACACGTCATGCCTTCGCATTTGACGAGGAACTCCAGCGACACTTCATCCGGGGCTATGAGTCTGATCCGGAATTCGCCACGTTGTATGCGCAACTCTCTTCGGATCACCCGCCGGCCAGCCACTATCGCATCGCCGACGGGTACTTGCTCCTCCACTCGAGAGGCAAGGACTTACTGTGTGTCCCACGAGACCGTCGTCTTCGGACTCGCCTTCTCGGGGAGTACCATGACTCGCGACTCGCCGACCATTTCGGAGTCAATCGCACTATTGCACGACTTCGGCAACGATCTCGATGGCCCGACCTCATTTCCGATGTCACTCGGTATTGCGACTCTTGCGAAGTTTGTCGACGAAGCAAACCCCGCAACCGCAATCCTTACGGCGAGTTGCGCCCGATGCCTATCCCACAGGAACCCGGCCTCTCCATTGCCATGGACGTCACCGGTCCGTTTCCCCGTGACCGGCTTGGGCACGACGGCATCCTCACGGTCGTTGACCGTTGGAGTAAGTATGCGCGATTTCTTCCTTGCAAGTACCACGCCACGGCTCCCGAACTTGCGCGCCTACTACACACCAGCTGGATTTGCAGCCATGGCGTGCAGGAAGACATCGTCAGCGACCGCGACACTCGCTTCATGTCAGCATTTTGGACTTCTCTCATGCAGGAATCCGGCACGAAGATGAAAGTTCGGCTCGGCATCCACAAACGAACGGGCAAACGGAGGGGGCACATCAAACCGCTCAAATGATGCTTCGTACGCTCATCCGTCTGGATCAGAAGGATTGGGTTGACCGCCTCTCCGACATCGAGTTCGCCTACAACTCTTCGTTGTATCTGGTGATCGGCGTAACTCCATTCGAGTTGCACCACGGTGGCCAGAAAGGCCGTATCTTCGCTGATCTTCTCCTCCCACGAACAACTGACATAGACGCTGCTTGCTCCCCCGCTTCCATTCGGAAGTACAGGGAATTGCTGGCTCAAGCCCGCGCAAACATGCAAAAGGCTCAAGTCCGCATGCAGCAGCAAGCCAACAGGCATCGCGTGCCATGTCCCATCCGCACCTGTGATTTGGTGTGGGTCTCCGCGGAAGAGTTTGCACTCGAACAGGATGTTTCACGCAAACTGCTTCCCAAGTGGTTTGGACCATGGCCCATAACATCAGCCGCGGGCGATGAGCCCGATGGCCCCTCATTTGTGATCAACATTCCCCCGCATCTGACGGTCCATCCAGTCTTTCACGCCTTGAAGCTGGCGACATATACACCAGCTAAGAGCGACGACTTCCCGGGACGACGATGGCAGGACCCTCCATCTATGGATGGTCATCAGGAAGTTGACCGCGTCATCACGGATCGCAAGTACGACATCAAGCCTTGACAGTACAAAGTTACATTCAAAGCATGCGATCTTGACGACACTCGGTGGATTTCAGGAACAGATTTGAAAACATCCGCACCGCTGATCTACGCTCACTACGAGCGACAAAGGTTAGCTTAGGGAACTTCACGACCTGCCCCTCCCACCCCGACTGTGGTCCCTCCCTCAGACAGACAACTTCGCCCTCCCAGGTAAGCTCGGTCTTTCAAGGAGGGGGGGGTGTGGCATACTAAGCAGCCACACCGGCCTGCAGGGCCTGTCCTGCAATCTCAGCCTAAAAGCCTAGAAACAAGGGCTTACAGGCCCCGTGTCATTTCAGCCTGACAGACTGAAAAACGAGGGCCTGCAGGCCCTATGTCGTTTCAGCCTAAAACAGGGCCTTTTAGGCTTCGAGTCTTTTCAGCCTGAAACAGAGGGCCACTTTCGGGCCCTCATAAGATCGACCTGCCCTAACGCTCAGGCACGAAACCAGGGTTTCGGGAACAGGCTATTTTTGGCCTGTTCCCACGCCAGCCTCAGCAGGAGCTGCAGCGGCAGGCCCTGGCTCACCTCAGCATTGGCAAGAGTAGCCTCCTGGACTGCCCCGCCTTGCAGCTGCAGGCAATCAGGAGGCAGGCCGAGGTAGTACATAGGGAGTTCCCATGCACTTCACGGGCAGTCAGAGGCCGAGGCAGTAGTAGTCTTCAGGATTCGGCAGCAGCACTCTGGAGGAGCGCTAAAGGAGTAGCTTAGCGCTAGCAGTAGTCTTCAGCGCTGGGCGCTAGTAGCAGTAGCAGTAGTCTTCAGCACTGGGCGCTAGTAGAGGTAGAGGAGGTGAGAGAGAGAGATGGCTGGCGGAGGCCAGGGAGACTTACCTGTGGTGCCATAGCTCCAGGCTCCAGCTTCATCTTCAAGGTACCTGCATCAAGGCGCCAACTTCACAGGTTAGTACCGGACAGAGAGAGAGAGAGAGAGAGAGAGAGAGAGAGAGAGAGAGAGAGAGAGAGAGAGAGAG